GATGCTCTGGGAGTGATGTGGGGTACCCTAGAAGAGATGTGGGATGCCCTGGGAATGATGCTGGGTGCCCTGGAAACGATATGAAGGGCCCAGGAGCGATACCAGGTGCCCTGGGAGTGACACTGGGTGCTCTGGGAGTCATATGGGCTGCCCTGGAAACAATATGGAAACACCTCGGGAATGACACTGGGTCCTGCCCAGGGAGGGATGTGGGGTGCCCAGGAAGTGATGTGGGATGCCCCAGGAGCTATACTGTGTGCCCTGGGAGTGACATGGGGTACCCCAGAAGCGATATGGGGGACCAAGGTGGGTACCTGCTCTTCCTGGGGCTCCACCAGCAGATTCCCAGTCTCATGCAGCTCTTCCTGGCAGTCCTTGCCCAAAGCCTCCTCTCCCTCCTCCTCCTCTTCCTCCTCCACCATGCCCTCAGCCACCGCCCAGGCTCTGGGGTGCTGGGGGGGCTCCCCCCCTTCCAGGAGTGCCCCGTCGCTGCCAGAATGCTGCGCGGGGGTGAGGGCAGGGCTCAGTGCCCCGTGCCAGGGCTGGAGGGCACCGGGCACGCCAAACCACCCACACCCAGCCTTACCTTCAGCCCTGCCAAACAGGAGAGAGAAAAGCAGAGATTAGGGGGGTGCAGCATCTCAAAATTGTCCCCACAGCTCCCGGCCACCCCTCTGCCCATCACACTGGTGCCGCAGCCCTGCCAGCTCACCTTGCTCGCCCAGGTGCCACAGGTTGTGCTTGGCGGGCTCTGTGGGGAGGTGAGGTGACAGTGGCATCACCCCTGTGTCCCCAAACTTGTCAGCACCCCGGGTCCCCCGAGCCTTGCTGCCATTCGCACCCGACTGCCTGCGCCCCCCGTGTCCCTGCAGCCGTTCCAGGAGTGTCTCCATGTGCTCCTGGTGCTGGAAGGGCTCTGTGGGGACAGGGACAGGGACACCATCAGCAGCCAGTGCCACCCTCCCTGCAGGCGTTGGTGTCACCCAGCCATGGCTTGGCCCAGGTAAGTGGCGGAGGTGGTGTGGTGTGGACACTGGGGACAGTGGGAACACGGGGGACAGTCAGGACACTGGTGACACGCAGCTCTCACCAGACTGCCGGCGTCCCTGGAGTGGCTCGGTGGCAGCGTCACCCAGGGGCTGGCAGGACCAGCTCTTCTTCAGGCGCTCAGGGCTGCAGCGGGGCAGGCGCGGGGGGTCTGTGGGGACAGGGGATGACACGGGGGAACACGGGGAGGACAGAGGAGGGCAGGGAGGGAATGGCGGGATGCTGGTGCCACTCACAGAACAGGTCCATCTCCAGGATGGCTTCCTTAGCCTGGGTGGGGGGAGGATGAAGAGAGATGAGGGTGAAGGTAGGGTGCAGCTGCCCCCCACTCGCCATGCTGGGGGGTCCCCGGTGGCACCAAGTGGCACCTCACCCTCACCTTCTGGGGGATGGTGGCGTGGTGGTTCTCCAGGATGAGCCGTTTGATGTGGTGGGTCCACATGCGCTTCTCCTCCACGCTCTTGGCCTGAGCGGCACAGGGAGGGCGCTGGGGTCAGGCAGGGGGTTCCCAGGGGGGTCCCCCGGGTGCCCAGTGCCCCGTGCTCCCTTACCTGCAGGCTGTGCTGCTGCTTGCCGTGCTTGTAGTGTGCCAGGCTGAAGCACAGCGAGTCCCTCGTGCTCTCGATCAGCATCAGCGAGGAGCACTGCAGGGAGAGGCATTGGCATGCCTGGAATGCACTAGGACTCCCACCCCAGAACCCACCGAGGTCCCTGACACCCGCTCCGTTCCTCCATCCCTGGCATCCACCAGGGTCCCCGGCACTCAGTGGGCTCCCCCATGCCCAGCACCCCCCAGCGCCCCATCCCCGTCCCGCACCGGGATGTGGCTCTTGTACACGTAGTGGTCCCCACGGCGCTTGGTGATGAGCAGGGCCTTGTCAAAGAGGAAGAGGGCACGCTCGTGGCGCACCCGCTGTGCCCGGAAGGTGCCCTCCAGCACCAGCTCCCCGTAGCTCGTCAGGTCCGGCCCCTTCCAGCCCAGCAGCAGCGACTGGATCTCCTGCACGGACACGGGGGACACAAGCATCAGGACACCTGCCACAGCGCCCGCCCGGTGCCCCCCCGGCAGCGGTGACCCCCCGGTGCCCACCTGCTGGCGGATGGCGTGCTCGTGCTTGCGCTTCATGTCGTTGATGTACCAGGCGACACAGGTCATGGTGTCGATGGCCTCCAGCACCAGCTCATAGTCGTCCCCCGCCTTGTGCTCGAAGTGCCGGGCGATCTCCTGGGCACAGCACGTGCCATCAGGGCAGTGCCTGCAGGCATGTCCTGCCCGGGGTGTGCCAGGGGAATGTGCCCTGCCAGGTGCCTGGACTGCTCCAGGGAACCTGTGCCAGGTGCCCATGCCACAGTGGGTGCCCACACTGTGCCGTGCCACGCGCTGGGCGCTCACCTGGAGCAGCAGGTGGTACTTGAGGATCCTCTGGACGGGCTTGAGCAGGTAGGCCCCGAGGGGCAGCGCGTGCCGCAGCCGCTCCTGGCATTCCCGCAGGAACCGCGCCTGGACCTTGCTCCTCATGCACTCGGCCAGCGCTGCCACCGAGCTGTGGGCAGGGAGTGGGCTCAGACCCCTGCCCACCCCTGCCCACCTCCCTGCCCACCCCCCTTTGCCCCCACTCACCTGGGGTAGTTGTTGCAGTACTGGGTGTAGATGGTGAATTCCTGGCTCTGCGGGCAGAGGGAGTGTGGCGAGACCTGGGCACAGCCCCAGTGCCCCCCTGGTGCCCCCCATGCCCCTCACCATGCCCGCCCTTACCCGGGTGACAAAGCACACGGCCACGGCCACAGGGTCACTGGCGCAGCTCTCCAGGTTCTGCAGGAGGGTGCTGGGGGGCACAGAGGGGACAGGGTGACCACAGCCCCCCCACACTCACGGGACAGGGTGGCACTCCAGTGCCCCCCCCCTCCCCGGTGGCACCTGCTCGCCCACCTGCTGAGCTCGTAGATGTCCTCGATGTTCCCAAAGAGCGCGCTGACCTGCTCCGGCCGCAGCACCGGCTCCTCCGCGTCGATGATCTTGCCCAGGTAACCCTGCCAGGCACCCACGATGGCAGTGACGCCCCCCAGACCCCAAACCCCATCCGAGGGGTGTCCCCCCGGGTGCCCCCCTGCACCCACCTCCACGA